AATGATTGAGCCAGTGCTATAGCTTAGAAGTAACCACCTGTGACACATAGGCAGCAGTTCAACTCCCAGCTGCTCCACTTCAGATCCAGCTCCCTGTAAATGTGCCTGGAAAAGCAGCACAGAATGGCCCAAGTGCTTGGGCCCCTACACCCATGTGGGAGACCGAGAAGTTCCTGGCTTCAAATCAACCCAGCTCCGCCTGTTGCAGCCATTTGGGAAGGAACCAGTGGACAGAGGTAGAGGACCTCTCTGACTCTGCCTCTCCCTTTCTGTAACTCCACCTTTCAAGTAAATAAATCTTTGAGGAAAAAAAAATAAATCTCCTTACTATTTAAAAAACAATTATAAATGATTTAAAAAGGTGAAAATACATAAAAATAAACATAGTATAATTTTCACACAAATGGGCAGATAAAATTTAACATTCAGCTAGCAAACCAGCCACCCCAGATTTAATCATGTTGGAAATGAATGATGATTTAAGTGTAGTTTTTTTTTTTTTTTTTTTTTTTATGACAGGCAGAGTGGACAGTGAGAGAGAGAGACAGAGAGAAAGGTCTTCCTTTGCCGTTGGTTCACCCTCCAATGGCCGCCGCGGTCGGCGCGCTGCGGCCGGCGCACCGCGCTGATCCGATGGCAGGAGCCAGGAGCCAGGTGCTTTTCCTGGTCTCCCATGGGGTGCAGGGCCCAAGCACCTGGGCCATCCTCCACTGCACTCCCTGGCCACAGCAGAGGGCTGGCCTGGAAGAGGGGCAACCGGGACAGAATCCGGCACCCCGACCGGGACTAGAACCCGGTGTGCCGGCGCCGCTAGGCGGAGGATTAGCCTAGTGAGCCGCGGCGCCGGCCTAAGTGTAGTTTTAAAGATAAAAAGTTTTCAAAAGATTTATGTGTTTATCTGAAAGAGCAACAGAGAGGGAGAGAGAGATCTTCAAAATGTCGGCTCACTCCTAAATGCCTGTATTAGCCAGGAAGTCCATCCAGGTCTCCTACAAGGGTGTCAAGAATCCTAGGAACTTTAGCCAGAAGCTGGATTAGAAGTGGAAGCAGGACATCCCAGGCACACGGAGATGGGATGTGGGCCTCCCAAGCAGTGGCTGTGTCCAATGTCCTCCTCATAAAGATAAAATATGTTAATGATGCCATGGCAGATCCTTTGCCTTGATGTATCTGTGGAGTGATAGCTTCAAGTTGACTTTTTGAAAGTTTTCCCTTTTTGTTGAGAAAAATATTTTTTGCTTCAAAGAAAGCATTTCTCTTTTATGTTGAATTTTTGTTTCATCTTGTTGGCATTTTTTTTTTTTTTTTTTTTTGACAAGCAGAGTGGACAGTGAGAGAGAGAGACAGAGAGAAAGGTCTTCCTTTTCCATTGGTTCACCCTCCAATGGCCACCGTGGCTGGCACGCTGCAGCCGGCGCACCGCGCTGATCTGATGGCAGGAGCAAGGTGCTTCTCCTGGTCTCCCATGGGGTGCAGGGCCCAAGTACTTGGGCCATCCTCCACTGCACTCCCGGGCCACAGCAGAGAGCTGGCCTGGAAGAGGGGCAACTGGGACAGAATCCGGCGCCCCGACCTGGACTAGAACCCGGTGTGCCGGCGCCGCAGGCGGAGGATTAGCCTAGTGAGCCACGGCGCCGGCCCTGCAATTCTTAATTAACTGCATTAATTTTAACATTGACGTGTTCAAATTTCTCAATGTAAATTTTTTGTGACAAAAGCTTTGTTACTTTTCCCTTTTTCTCGGAGATTAAGGAAGTATTAATATCTATAAATGGGCCGGCGCCGCCCACTAGGCTAATCGATTACTCCGCCTTGCGGCGCCGGCATACCGGGTTCTAGTCCTGGTCGGGGCGCCGGATTCTGTCCGGGTTGCCCCTCTTCCAGGCCAGCTCTCTGCTGTGGCCCGGGAGTGCAGTGGAGGATGGCCCAAGTGCTTGGGCCCTGCACCCCATGGGAGACCAGGAGAAGCACCTGGCTCCTGCCATCGGATCAGCGCGGTGCGCCGGCCATCGGAGGGTGAACCAACGGCAGAAGAAGACCTTTCTCTCTGTCTCTCTCTCTCACTGTCCACTCTGCCTGTCAAAAAAAAAAAAAAAAATTCTATAAATGATTACACATTTGTTCTATTAAAATTGAATGTTGATTATTATTCTTGGTAGACATACAGAAATATGATTCAGACTTCACTTTTTAAAATAATTATGAATAACTGTTACACCAGCCAGCTCTAAGTTGGTGTCTATTCTGGCATCCTCTGCTCCTTTTAAGAGTGCCATTATCTCAGTCCCTAGTCTACCTGTGGTCAATTTCTGGCTCTCGTTTCCCCAGAAGTACAAGCTTCAGTCTAAAGCAGTTCTTTCAGTCTTGCCTCTTGCTTTTGTGGGTTTCGCCTCTGTAGAAGCTTCATCTAATATTTGTAGCTGGCTGGAAATCAAAGAACCACAGTGTAGTTCTGCTTCTGCCTGTCTTTTTTACCCTGGGCATGTCATTTAATGTTCATGCACTTCAACTTGCTGAAATTAGAAATGAAACCAAATATCCTTAAGGACTCTCTACTAGTAAAATTCTGTAGTTAAAATGGATTTTATGGTTTATGTTAAGGAGTAAGATTTCATGCTGTCTTTGTCAGTTTAATTGCTGTAATATTTTATTCTGCAGCTTTTCCTACGATGGCAGGTGGAAGCAAAAATTACAGACATCTGTGGACTTCCCATTAGAAAGTCTTGACTTGTCACAGTATGTTATTGGCCCAAAGAACAATTTGAAGAAATACAATTTATTTTCTGTTTCTGTAAGTATCTTCCTTAACTGAAGACTTTTTCCACCCAAAATAGTGTTAAAAAAACAGGAGTTTTGAGTGCTTCTTTGCCTCCCATAATAAAAACAACATAAGGCTGTGAAATTAGACATAGTTTAATTAACAATTCAGTTTGAATTGATTTTCTGTCTTGTTTGGCTCAGAATCACTACGGCGGACTGGATGGAGGCCACTACACTGCCTACTGCAAAAATGCAGCAAGACAGCGGTGGTTTAAGTTTGATGATCACGAAGTGTCTGATATCTCTGTTTCTTCTGTGAAATCTTCAGCAGCTTATATCCTCTTTTATACTTCACTGGGACCACGAGCAACTGATGTAGCCACATAAGGAGACATAGGTGATGAGCTAGTTACCTTGTAAAAGGCTCAGCAGCACAACTCTTGAAGTGCTCATAAAGGTAATGGATAGCTAAAGCTGGCCATTTAGAGGAGTTCTAGGACAGGAGCTGTGTTACTAGCACCATTTAAGTCAGGTCAGCGCTACTATCAAAAAACGGACAAATAACACCTAACAGGTATTGCAGTAAGCATCTCTTACAGGTACCATTTATTTCAAAACTTTTTTAGTCTGCTCCAAAGTTAAGATAATTAATTAGCTAAGCAAGTATTACTCTGCTGGCCTAAAACCCCTTGTAACTTCTATTTTCCTTTTCACTGTTATGGCCTTTTTCATTTCTAATCCAGCTTGATCTACCATGAATACTCTAGAATGATGTAAAGCGGACGGGAATGTATGTGGACATATTTATTGCATACTTGCACATCCAATCAATGTACATAGTTTAACCTGTGATCCTTTTGTGAAGCCTATAACTCAGAGGATTGCTTTTTTCCCCCTCATTTAACCTATTTTAAGTAACTGCAGTGCTTTCTTAGGGAAATGACAGGGCAAAGCTATTTTTTTGTTGGCTTAGGGCTGTATTTGTGCACTAAATCTTTAAATCTTTATTCTAAAATATAAATGGAAACTTTCTTTAATTTTTTTAAAATGAGAATTTCATTTACACCTACATTAAAATCTTAATGGATAAAACATTTTAAACCCTAAAAGCGTTCTGTGTTTGTTATATTATCAAATATAGGGCAGTGGAACCATAGATTTTATGAGCATGTACACATTTTATTTCACCACATTGCTTTCTTTTGTATTGAGGCTTGATTCCATTCTTCCTTCAATGTCACACCAGAACTACATAGCACGTAGGATTCGCAGAACTGAAAATCAGAAGTAAAATACCCCATGACCCATTCTATCCTTAAATGTTATTAATATTAATTCCTAATATTAACGTAAAAAGGGATAGGAATCAGGCATAAAGTTGCAAAGTGAATTACGTTATGTACTACATCTTTATAGAAAGATGTAATAAAACAGATAAGTTCCTTTATCTTGGGAATTTGGTTGCTATAGATAACAAACATTCCGTATAAAAACATTCTAAAAGTGCCTCTGAAAGATTCAGTCAATGTCGGCAGACACTCAGGGAAAAGATGAAAGAATGGGTTTTGAGTGGTCAAGCTTTTCATGGTTTCATTAGCCTTCTTGGCTAAAGTGTAGCATTTAAGATCACATTCGTAAGCTTACATAACCATTTGAACAAAAATTATTTTTGTTTAGCTCTATAAAGTGTCTTTGGAAAATCTGTTGAACAAGCCAGCTAATAAACACTGAATTTGAAACCTGAACTTGGCATGTCATCTGTAGTGCTTTGAAGGCCCCACCCCTCAGCATTTCATTGCTTGCACGAGACCTTTTCATTGAGCTCAGGAACCATCTTCTTTTCTGTAGACTTGTCTAACAGAGGTTATGTGACATGCCAGAAATGGTTGAAAGCATTAGTGATACAAGTAAGTTTTAAGAGTTTAATGACGAAGCAAAACTCCACCACCAGATTGCTCGTTTTGCAGTTTTCAGGAAACACCCATTTCCTAGCGTGTGCCTTTCTGTATAGGTAGAGAGAAAGGCTGGCAGCTGTAGAACAGGAGATAGGCTGTGGAGGTCTGAACGGAAGTGTTGGGAATCTCACTGACGCGGGTGTCGTCAAAGCTGTACCAGGCCTGAGTAACTGAGTTCTTGCAGAAAGCAGTGTAGTGGCCACCGTCCAGATCACCAAAGTGGTTCTAGGGGAGGAAGCAATGTCAGACTTAGTATTCACACGCCAGTACTCTAATGACCAGAACAAAAAAGAGGCCCAAGAAAACTTTGTGAATTTTTTTTATCTGTGTCTTTACTAACCCAATAAAAATAGTTTGAAACAAAGACATTAGGACGCTTACTTCCAAAAAAGTGGCATGAAGTAAAACAGGGGTCAGCAGGCATAGCCCAGTGGCCTCTTTTTCATAACCTAATAGTTAAGAAGGGGTTTTATATTTTCACATGTTTGGAAAAAAGCCAAAGAATAATTGCAGAATAATTACTTGTGAAAATTGTATGACAAATATCAGTGTTTTTAAAGTTTTACAGTCATGTTTGTGGTTTTCAGTGGCTGTTCCAAGTGCTATATTAATAAAACTGAACAGTTGCAGCAGTGACCACGTGGCCTGTAGAGCCTAAAGTATTTAATGTCTGGCCTTTTACAGAGTAAGTCTGACCACTGGTGTAGAAATGGGCTTGTTGGGTCAGGTCCAGATATGACTTACGGTATACAGAGATTTTAGGAAAATTACTTCTGTTACCTTTTCTGAGCTTCAATCCTCTTCCCCCCACCTCTGTTAGTATGTGGTAATAAGACTTAATATGTCTTAAATAGCTGTTTGCGGATATCTCATTACAGTACTAGCAAATAGGAGGCACTTATTAAATGTTCTCTTAGACCTTCCTCTTCTCCACCTTTGCTTGTTCTGTATCTGACATCGAAAAGATCCAAGTTCTGGTCCTAGTCCTTGCCATGCAACCTTAAGCTGGCACTCTTCAGCTCTTCAGCATCCTTATGTTAAAAAAAAAAAAAAAAAACCTGCCCTTAATAGTGTGATGTATGAGAAAAACAAAACAACTGAAAGGCCGGCGCCGTGGCTCACTAGGCTAATCCTCCGCCTAGCGGCGCCGGCACACTGGGTTCTAGTCCCGGTTGGGGCGCCGGATTCTGTCCCGGTTGTCCCTCTTCCAGGCCAGCTCTCTGCCTGTGGCCAGGGAGTGCAGTGGAGGATGGCCCAGGTGCTTGGGCCCTGCACCCCATGGGAGACCAGGAAAAGCACCTGGCTCCTGGCTCCTGCCATCGGATCAGCGCGGTGCGCCGGCCGCAGCGCGCCGACCGCGGCGGCCATTGGAGGGTGAACCAACGGCAAAGGAAGACCTTTCTCTCTGTCTCTCTCTCTCTCACTGTCCACTCTGCCTGCCAAAAAATAAAAAATAAAAAAAAATAAAAAAAAAAAAACTGAAAGATGTGAAGGACCCAGATGAGGAAGTCATTGTCTGAAGTACTTAGACTACAGCTGGAGAACTTTAGTCAGCTTTGATAAATTAATGTTAAAAAATGTTTGGCATAATGGAAGCATTTCGATCAATTAGGGCACACAGCTGAAAGCCTCACTATTAAACTAAAGGCATACTGGGTAAAATATAGTAGACACCCTTTGAGATGTAAGCTGACTTTAGTCTCCAGGACCCCAAGCAGAGGAGATAGTGTGTGATTGAAGCCTTGTGACTGCTGGGCAGTAAAGACACTTCCTGGTCTTTGTAACTTGTGTGCTTGGGTTTTAAAGGTCACTTAAGAGCAGTGGAGATAATGTTGGCCAAAGCCAGGACCCTTACAGAGATTCAGCCTCAATGAAAGGATAAACTAATTGGGCAGAAGGCACTGTGTCCACTAGTACTGTGTGAGCTGGAGCTCTGGGTACAGAGAATAAAAGTTATTCCTAGGAATTTGGTACCACAGGCCTGCCTTCTCATTTGAGGCCAGAGGAAATAGTTTATTTTAGTTGATGCACCCTAACTTAGGCTGCACAGGATATTCTCAAAGAATTAAATTTATAAATTAAATAGTACATAGAATCAGAGAATGAGTAAAGTAAAACTGAAGCTAGGGAAATGACTGTGAATGGAGTCATGATGGAAAGTATAGGGAAAGAGGCCTGGAAAAATGAAATCATCAGCTTACATTTAGTAGAAGTTCTAGAAGAGAACAGTACAGGAACAAGGCAATGATAGTGGCTGAAAATCATAAAAACATGAATCTTCAAATTTAGGAAATGGGATGAACCATAGATAAGTAATAAGACTGCAGAAAAAAAAGGTGGAAATGTGAAGAATCATCAGACCACCGGAAAGAAGACAGATTACCCACAAGGGAATAAATGACAGCTGGCTGGTAGATGTTGTCAGTGGCAGCCATAGAATGAGAAATGGGGGCCAGCACTGTGGGTTAAGCCGCCACCTGCAGTGCCAGCATTCCATATGGGCACCAGTTTGAGTCCTGGCTGCTCCACTTGCAAGTCAGCTCTCTGCCATGGCCTGGAAAAGCAGTAGAAGATGGCCCAAGTCGTTAGGCCCTGTGCACCCATGAGGGAGACCCGCAAGAAGCTCCGGGCTTCCGATCGGCCCAGCTCCAGCTGTCGCGCCCATTTGGGGAGTGAACCAGTGGATGAAAGATCTCTCCCTCTCTCTCTCTGCCTTTGCAACTCTGCCTTTCAAATAAATAAATTTTTAAAATAAATATAAGGAATGAGAAATGATGAAAAGTTTTAAAATGCTGAAGGAAACTAACAATCTGCAGTTTGATTTCTAGTTACCTTATTGAAGAATTTCAGTTAATTAAAGTACATCAGTGAATTAAAGATTTTCAAAGACTAAGACCCTTTAGGATGAAAGATCCTCACACTGAAAAGTCTAATGCAACGTGGGTTACAACTCGTACATAAGAAAGTGATTAGCACAAAGGATTAGTAAAATCCTAGCAAATGTAAATCAACATGAAGCGTATAGAATAACTATGGTAAATATAATGTCTCCTTTGGAGGCATGTTTTTTAAAAAGTTAAAGCTCAAATATTCACAATAGTTCCATGATCAGAACTACAGTGTTCTAAGATCCTTGCATTTGTTGAGAGAAGAATGTGGGATCTTTATTAATTTAGGTTTTAAGTATGGAAGCTGTAGTGTTCAGGGTAACGATTGAAGAATCTCAATAAAAGGTATAATCTCAGGGCTGGTGCTGTGGCATAGTTGGTTAAGCCTCCACCTGCAGGGCCAACATCCCAGTTGGGCACCAGTTCAAATCTCGGCCATCCAACTCCCTGCTAATACGCCTGGGAAAGCAGCAGAAAATGGCCCAAGTGCTTGGGTCCCTTGCACCCACGAGAGAGATCTAGAAGAAGCTCCTGGTCCATGGCTTTGGACCAGCTCAGCTCCAGCCATTGCAGCCATTTAGGGAGTGAACCAGCGGATAGTAGACCTCTTTGTCTCTCCCTCTTTGTCTGTAAATATACTTCTCAAATGATTTTTTAAAAATCTTAAAAAACATAATTTCCAAAGTTGGGAAGAGAAAACAGTAAAGAAAATTTTATCAGTTTAGTAGTAGGTAAGAAAAACAGGCAAGTGACTAAGAAAAGAGGTTAACATAAAAGCACAATTACTAGGTGAATTACATGGAAATGTATAAAATCACTGAAGATTGGAGTTTTAAAATCCAGTTTATGCACTATACAAATGGCCTTCAGAAAGTTTGTGGAAAATGCATATTATGACAGAATTATTTCTGGATTTCAAAAGTGTTTTGTACACAGTGTAATTACTCTGTGAACCTTTGAAAATACCCTTATACAAACATTTAGAATTTGGAAAAGAGTGAATTTACAGAGTTGGAAAAAAAGATATAGATAGGTCTTACCCCAAAAAAGCCAGATGAGCTATATAAACATCAGCTAAAATGAACTTTAAGACAAAAGGCATTATAAGTAATAAGAGTTGAGGCAGGCATTGTGACAGCAGATTAAGCCACCACTTAACACTTACATCCCGTATGGGAGTGCTGGTTCAAGTTCAGGCTACTCTGTACTTCTGACCCAGCTTCCTGCTAATGTGCATGAGTGGCAGCAGGTGATGGCCCCAGCACATGGGCCCTGCTACCCATGAAGGAGACTTGGATGGAGTTCCATGCTCCTGGCTTCAGCCTGATCCAGCCCTGGCTGTTATGGATGGCAGAGCTCTGGCATTCTGCCTTCCAAATAAATAAATGTTACTTGATAATGAAAAAAGATTTAAGTCACCAAAAGGTTATAATTCTAAACTGCTATGCACCTTATAACAAAATAATTTGTTAAAGAGGACTATAGAGAAAATTTGACAAATTTATCATAATGGAAGGTTTTTTTTTTTTTAAATTACTTGAAAGGCAGAACTTTAGATCTTCTGGTTCACTCCCCCAAATGTCTACAATAGTTGGGCCTGGCCCAGGCCCAGCTGAACCCAGGAGCCAAGAACTCCATCTGGGTCTCCTTCGCAGGTGGCAGGAACCAAGTACCTGGGCCATCGTCTGCTGCCTCCCAGTTGTGTTAGCAGAAAGTCGAATCGGAAGCAGATTCCTGAATCCCAGGCACACCAACGTGGGATACAGGCATCCCAAATGACATGTTAACCTGCCGCACTACAATGCCAATCTTTGGAAGATTGTTGTTTTTGAGGGCTTGGCTTTATTTATTTTTTTTTTAAACATTTATTTATTTTAGAGACAGAGCTTTCCATCCACTGGTTCCCTGCTAGGAACTCGGAAGAACAGGTCTCCCGTGCCGCAGGGACCCAGCTCCTTCAGTCATCACTGCTGCCTTTCCGTTTCTGCATTAGCCGGAAGCTGGAACCAAAAGCAGAGACAGGACTTGAACACAGGCACTCTGATATGGGAAGTGGGCACCCTTAGGCCAAATACCCCCATAATGGAAGATTTTTATACATTTCTTTATAAAGTTGACCAGATACAAATAGTACCTGATAATAAATAGTACAGATAAAGCTTTGAATGTACATTTTCACCTTATGACAAAACCTGGCTGCTAAAATAGAAATCAACAAAAAAAATTTTTTTGACAGGCAGAGTTAGAGACAGAAAGGTCTTCCTTCTGTTGGTTCACCCCCAAATGGCCGCTGCGGCCGGTGAGCTGCGCCGATCCGAAGCCAGGAGCCAGGTACTTCCTCCTGGGTGCAGGGGCCCAAGCACTTGGGCCATCCTCCACTGCCTTCCCAGGCCACAGCAGAGAGCTGGACTGGAAGAGGAGCAACCGGGACTAGAACCTGGGGTGCCAGTGCCACAGGCGGAGGATTAGCCAAGTGAACCGTGGTGCCGGCCAAAATCAACAAATTTCTACAAATATAAGCTTTATATAGACCATGGTCTTTGACCACTACAATAAAATCATTAGTACAAAAAGGAAACTACCCTACCCCCAAAAATTCACATACTTTTGGTAATTAAAAAACAATTTCAAAAAATGAAGCAATTATAAATTAAAAATTTTTAGAACTAAACAATGAAAATACTGTGTATCAAAATGAGATGCCAATGATGTCCAAGAACGTCTTTCAAATAATACAGTGGAGAGGCCGGCATTGTGGTGCAGTGGGTTAAGCCACTGCACTGATTGGAACCAAACCACCTTCACAAGAGCTAAGGAAGCCAGATGAAAGACCACAGTGCCTGGCTTTGGTCTTGAAGGCAAGAAGGAAAGTGTCCCCCACATCCCCTCTCCCCAGCTCCAAGCAGCTCAAGGGAGGGAGAGGGAATTAAGTTCCAGCCCTGGACTTTACACCCTTTAACAAGCTCACTGTAGTGAAAACCAGTGCCAGACAAAGTCCCATAGCCCCTCCCCCATGCCAGGACTCAGCCTGAGCCTCTAGACCCCCATTAGCCAGGTGGCCAACTTCCTAGATGACCCCTCCACCACCACCACCACCAATCTCAACCTTCAGCAGGCAGTGGAGCAAAGGTAGGGCAGGGAAA